TTTATTTTGTTTTTTTCATGGTTGATTGGTTTTTTTTCTTCATTTCTTTCAAGGTTGATTGTTTTTTTCATGGTTGATTGGTTTTTTTTCATGTTTTTTTAATTTTTTTATCTAATATTAATTTCTTCAAGGTTGATTGGTTTATTAATTTTTTTTTATTGTTTATTGATTTTTTTACTTTTTTTTAATTTGTTTAAAGTTGATTGGTTTATTATTTTTTTTAAAATTTTCATATTTGATTGGTTCTTTTTATTTATTTTTTTCATGGTTGATTGATTTTTTCACTTTTTTTCATGGTTGATTGATTTTTTTTTTAATTTTTTCATTGTTGAATGCTTTTATTTATTTTTTGGTGCTGGTGCTGGTGCTGGTGCTGGTGTAGGTGCAGGTGCAGGTGCAGGTGCAGGTGCTTGTGCTGGTCCAGTTTTTTGTGCTGGTGCTGGTGTTGGTGCTGGTGCTGGCGCTTCTGCCTGTCCAGGTGCTTATAGACAGGTCATTTGCTGGAAAAATTAGGCCTTTTTTCCTGTCAAGGTTTTCTTTTCGGATACCTTGCCAAGAAACATTTTGGAAAAGATTAGGACTTGGGGCATGTTGAAATTTGCCGAAAAATTCAAAATGGCGGAATTTTTCAAAATGGCGGACTTTTTACACTGTTTTGGCCATAATGCACCGATTTAATCTTCTAAGAAAAGCATTACTTGGCATCAAAGTGTCCTATTACGTCATAAACATGTTTGTTGCCATGAATGATCATCAAAAATTCAAAATGGTGCTCTTAAGGAGGTAGAACTAAAAAGAAATCAACAATTTTGGCGCTTCGCTCCATACCAACAAAGTTACTGTGGTCAGAAACCTTATAAAAGATAAACAAATGTAACGACAGAGTCCCACAAGTAAGGATAGGGCTCTATGAAATAAAAAAATCCAATTTCACATGGCAAAAAATCATACCGAAATTTGAAAAATTTGAAGGTTTTATTATAGTCCAACTCAATCATAAATTTAAATTCACCTCTGTTGCCTCCGTCCATGACAGTTCGAAAGAACTCTTTTGCACAAGACAAAAATCCGATGGAAGCCAGAGTGGAACCAAAATTGTTCAGCAGGTTAAGGCATTTCAATTTTACCATCTTTTTCCATGGCTTTAATTTTCCAATTCCAAATGGAAAAGACGTCGTATCACAACCAGTGATGCTGTGGTATGCTGGCAAAATAGCACAAGCTTCTGTGCCGATATTTACACAAATTGACTCGATATTTATGAATCTTTCATGTCCTATCTTCATTTGCCACTTCTGTTCAAAAACCCGTGTTGGAAAGGCATGAACCATTAACACTAAGACATCAGTGTCTGTAGCATGTACGATCACAGGTGCATCTAATTTATCTGCCTCTAGGATCAAGCGGGTATCAGCTTCACGGTGGTTGCTGTCTTCAAGTTCTGTGAAGTTATCATTAGAAATTAGCCATGTCTTTTCATTTTCTGTTATTTGAAGTGGTATTTTGAACATGCCTTTGTGGTTTTTGGCGTAATTTACCAAGAAACGTATTAGCTCTGTTTTATTCTCTGCGTTGTGGAGGAAAGTGTCCCAATCCTTTCGTGGTGGCATACTTTGCTCTTGACTTGTAATGAACACTCTTTTGCCAGAGTGCCCGCGGCGACGCTGGGTAAGTTGTTTTGTTGTCTCCTGTGTGTAATTATCGAATATCACAGCAATTGAATGTGCTTGATAAGAGGCTGCAGGTGTGCAGAATCTGAAGTATGCCTTTGCGTACTCTCCCCAAGTAGGTTTACTTTTGATTGACCTTACTGCAGCCATGCCGTCAACTAACCATGCTGCTTTAGACAAAGGTGTTTGCACTTCTGCTAAAGATTCTTCTATCAGAAAATTTCGTAATGCAGCTTTGCAGCCTTGTCTGAGATCACTGTCAGGTGATGCTAAAGCTAGTGGAACAGTTGTAAGAGGATAAGAGTGTGCGTCTCTTGGACTTGTAGCCTTACCAACGAGTGATCCAAAGGCTTGCCTGTCCTCCTTGAGAATGCTTATGGCTTTGGGAATCTTTTTTGCCCGCTCCATGCCAGTTTTGATCCTAGGATTTTTTATTGATGCAAATATACTAACCCTATTTTCTTTGGCTTTGAGTCTTTCGTCAATAAACTCAGCATACATTGCTTCTCCTACTGCAGATGAATTCAGAAGTCCCTCAATGACCGATGGCTCGATTTCGGCTCCAGTTTTGAAATGTCTTGCAGGACCATCTAGAAATGGATCAAAATACTTATCAAACTGCAAAACAAGAACTTCGTTGCCTCGTGCTTCTTTATCGCACCAATAGTTGTTTCTTTGTGAACGGACTGCGTCAAAACATCCAATCGTTCTTTCAGTTTGGCTCGAACAGTAGCCATGAAATGACTGGTCTTTACAAAGGTATCAACAGCCTTCTCATCGGTGCCAAATCCACCTTGCATGGGGCTCCCTCTGACCCTTACCTTTTTGTTAATGGTTGTTTCGGTTATCAAGTCACCATGGATAGTCGAGTATGGTTTGCCAGAGACTGAACCACCAAAGCCATTAACCAGAAGGTCATTCCATGCTCCTTCTTGCTTTGATCTAATATCCTGCAGCTTGACATGTTGAAATGTAAGATAACGGGCATAGTTTTGATGCCCAAATGCAAAACACTTTGGCAACAAAACACGCTCTGCTGCTAAATGGCGCTCAATTGTATTTTCTCTTACAGCACTGACGAAGCATAGCATAGCCGAGACATCGCGAATGTATTGCATCATCATTTGAGCTTGTGTGCCAAAGACATCTGTTAAATTGTTTATCATCTGTTTGAATTTTGGTGAATTAGTTATTGACTTTAAATTGGCGGTTGATTGGACAAGTCTCAAATTTACAATTTGCCTTTTGAATCCTGGAGTGAATACACCTTTGTTCAGAACACCCTTCATTCGATAGCGAAGCAAGGCTTCAAAAGCCTGTTTGTGTAGCCTTATGCTTCTATGGTAATGCCTTCCCTCCATTGCTTGATCAGCAGACCCTTGAGCTATCACATCGGCTTCTATCCACCATTCCTTGAGTCCGAGACAAGAATACTTCTTTCCAAGGATCTTCAAATTGACCATTATCGTGTGGAAGCCGCCCAAGAAGGTAATGATTTGATCGTATTTCCCTTGGTTTAGCCATTGAATGATAAGAACTTTTGAATGAATTGCTTGATCTGCATGAAGAAAAATATGATCTATTTCTAGCTGATCAAGCATCTTCTGAATCATGTCCATATACCATTTGACGACGTTATCATGTGGAGGAAAAGGAATAACAGGAAGATATTCTAGTTTGCACCTTCTTGTAGTGCAATCTGTTACAGCTTTCATGAAGTTTGTCCATGATCCAACTGGCTGGAGAGCATCAGTGTCTAATTCAGGCTGTATTTCTAGAAGCATCTCTTCACTTACAGCTCCACACAATACCCAAGCTACATCACGATAAAATGCTTCTTCGATTAGCGGTGAATCTTTGAATTTGTCTTCAAAATCAGGCATTGCTGGAGGGTCTGCCCGTTTCTTTGGAATAACATATGAACCAAAATCTTTCTTTCCGTGGTGTAATAGATCTACGCATGGTTCATATAAACGTGTCCCTTTATCACCAGGAAATGATGGTTGGAAATCGTTCCCGTGGTGTGGTGCGTCGTCTGTGACCCAGTCAAAGTTTGCTGTCGGCCATCAGAATTATCAAAAGTAATGTGAACTGCTCTACCTTTTACAAATCCTGGTGGAAGCATCTGAGCATGCTCCATTGTTACCGCTTCGGCCCAAGAATTGCTAAGCAACCTGACGTCATTGTAAGATATTCCAATACCACCACAGTGCAATAGTCTTGATGTCTCCTTACTTCCGGTTAATCTGTTAACGGTCAAGCCCATCGCAATGTTTAAAGGTGACCTGCCGTGTAATGTCAGTGCTTCCCATCCCTGAGCAAGAATGGATATTTTTTGATTCAAGTCCTTGGGTACATTGACAATCCCATTTTGATTGATAGGCCATTTGTCATTCAACGACAGAGCAATTGCATTGAAAATACACTCTAGCGGGAAAAAAGTCTCCAAAGACTCACAAAGCTCTTCAGTTGTTGGTGGCCAGGTAAGTGGATGTCTGTTTGCCAGTTTTCTTCTTACAAGTCTGGCAAAAGCCTTGGTTAGATCAACTTCTCTCAAACCATGACCCTTCAATGCAGCCTCGACATAGGTAACAGGTTCAACTGTGTTGGAATGCAGGACTTGTTTCTTTTGACCAACTTTAGAAAAGGCAATTTCATCTGGAAAGGTTTGCTCAATATGTGTCTTCAGATACTTTGTTTGCCTTATAGGTGGTTCGCTTAGACCAAAGTCAGAACTGATCTCTGCAAAGTCTTTTAACAGCTCAGTCATGAGAAAGGATTCTTTATCTTGAATCACCCTTCGCCTAATCATCTCATCAAAGTACCCCATAACTTTCCGTTCCTGCTCCGCGTTATATGCCAATGTCTCCTTCTTGTCATACGAATAAGAAAATGACGCATAACATTTCTTATGATAATAGACATCTGCTGCAAAAACATCATAGGAGGCACCATTTAGTAAGATGTCAATTCTCTTAGCTGCTTCATAATGGCGATCTTGCTCATCTAACAACTTCTTGGCAACCAAGGTTTTCAACTTTAGTGCTGCTTTTTCTTCCGAACAGCGTGCCAATCCCCCATCATTGTATGGAAGTGCATCGTCACTCGAACGTTCGTTGCAAATCAAACAAGATTTTTCAGTTCTTTTTTCTCGTAAAAGCTTGGTTCTCTTCTTCCCACTTGTGGAGACTAATGATTCGTCATCGCTATAACTTTTACGTGATTCTTGATCATCACATAAGGCATCATTTTCCTCGAGCTTTGCCGACTGCAACTGTTTTGTCTTCAGCATGCTTCTGAAAGAAACTGCGCATCCTTTATGAGTGTACAATGTCTCAGTTAAACATTGGGGAAGCCTCAATGATGCCTCACGAAATGCCTCGTAAGGTTGTTCAATACAAACTCGCTTGTCGATTTTTGACCAAAGACGAGCATTCTTCTGAATGGTATCAAAAGCTATTGACTAGATAGCCTTTTTGTCCTTGTCATCAATAAGCAAATCGCATAAAATACACCGATTAATTCCAGGACCATCGAATTGCAGGTAGGGATTTGCCGACATAATTCCAATGCTGCAATAACCATACAGTGTTTAACAGTTTAATTTCAACACAGCAAAGTTGTCTTCCATTCCTTTAAAATGTCTCAGCATCTTCTATTATCAAGCCCTCTTAGTAAAGCTAAGAAAATCACAGAGAATATTGTCGACAACTTTCAACTACATAGTACCCTTGAATGTATCCTTTGGTCTTCAAATCATATCTTTTCACGAGGAAAACTCATCCAAACTTCACAGATAAATTCTGAAGCTACTCAGTCGAAAGATACTATCTCATTGCCGGTTACATTTCAAAAGCTCAAGTTGCATTTGTGGTTATCAAAATAGTGCAATTTAGTCTAAGTTTAACTACTTATATCAACAACTTCAAAGGTGGGAATATAATTTATACCTTTGTTTATAAACGTTAAAATAGTTAATGTCAACATTTGGGAGAGCATGAAATGGCCTAAAGACATGGGCATGAATTCCTGAGGTGACTTACTATCCCGTGTATCCTGCGTTTCTTCGTATAAAAATATATGACCACAGTAACTTTGTTGGTATGGAGCGAAGCGCCAAAATTGTTGATTTCTTTTTAGTTCTACCTCCTTAAGAGCACCATTTTGAATTTTTGATGATCATTCATGGCAACAAACATGTTTATGACGTAATAGGACACTTTGATGCCAAGTAATGCTTTTCTTAGAAGATTAAATCGGTACATTATGGCCAAAACAGTGTAAAAAGTCCGCCATTTTAAAAAATTCCGCCATTTTGAACTTTTCGGCAAATTTCAACATGCCCCAAGTCTTAATCTTTTCCAAAATGTTTCTTGGCAAGGAATCTGAAGAGAAAACCTTGACAGGAAAAAAGGCCTAATTTTTCCAGCAAATGACCTGTCTATTAGGTTGGTGCTGGTGCTGGTGGTGGTGCTAGTGCTGGTGCTGGTGCTGATGCTGGTGTTTGTGCTGGTGGTTATGCTAGTGCTTATGTTGGTGCGTTTACTAGTGCCGGTGCTGACACTGGTGCTGGTGCTGGTGCCTGGGCCGGTGCCAGCGCTTGTGCTGGTGCCTGTACTAGTGCTGGAGCTGGTTTTGGTTCCTATGTCGTTGCTTTTGCTAGTGCTGGCGCTTGTACCTGTCCTTTTGCATAGGTTGGTGCTGGTGCTGGTACTGGTGCTGGTGCTGGTGGTGCTGGTGGTGGTGCTGGTGCTGGTGTTGGTGTTGGTGTTGGTGCTGGTGCTGGTGCTGTTGTTGGGGCTTGTACTGGTGCTGGTGATTGTGCTGTACCCGGTGGATGTGCTGGTGCAGGTGCTCATACTGTTTGTGTTGGTGCCTGGGCCGGTGCTGGCGCTTGTGCTTGTGCCTATACTAGTGTTGGTGGTGGTGCTGGTGCTGGTGTTGGTGCTAGGGCTGGTGCTGATGCTGGTGCTTGTTGCAGTGCCGTTGCTTTTGCCGATTTTGGCGCTTGTGCCTGTCCTAGTGCTTAGGTTGGCGCTGGTGCTGGTGGTGGTGCTCGTTGTGGTGCTCGTGTTGGTGCTGGGGCTGAAGCTGGATCTGGTGCTGGTTCTGTTGCTGGTACTTGTGCTGGGTCGGTGCTTGTGCTGGGCATGATGCTTGTGCTGGTGCTTGAGCTGGCGCTCGTGCCGGTCCTGGTGCTGGTTCTGATGCTGGTTCTGGCGCTTCTGCCTGTGCTGGTGCTTAGGCTGGTACTGGTGCTGGTGCTGGTGCTGGTGGTGGTGCTGGTGCTGGACCAGGTGCTTGGGCTGGTGCTGGTTCTGGTTCTTGTACCGGTGCTTCTGCTGGTGCCTAGGCCAGTGCCGGTGGTGGTGCTGGTGCCTGTAATAGTGCTGGTGCCTGTACTATTGCTAGGCTGGTGTTGCTGTTCTTTCTGGTGCTGATGCTGGTTCTGGTGCTAATGCTGGTCCTTGGGCCGGTTCTGGCGCTTGTGCTGGTGCCAGTACTGGTGCTGGAGCTGGTGCTGGTGCTAAGGCTGTTTTAGGTTGTTGCGCTGAACCTGGTGCTTGTTCTGCTGCTGGTGCTGGTTCTTGTTCTAATTCTGGTGCTGCTGCCAGTGCTGTTGTTTGTGCTAGTGCTGGTGTTGGTGCTGGTTCTGGTGCTGGTGCTGATTCTGGTGCTGGCGCTTGTGCCTGTTCTGGTACTTAGGCTGGTGCTGGTGGTTGTGCTGGTTTTGGTGCTGGGGCTGGTGCTGGATCTGGTGCTGGTTCTGTTGCTGGTACTTGTGCTGGGCCTGGTGCTTGTGCTGGGCCTGGTGCTTGTGCTGGTGCTGGTGCTGGTGCTGGTGCTGGTGCTCGTGGTTGTGCTTGTGCTTGTGCCTATACTAGTGCTGCAGCTGGTGCTGGTGTTTGTGCTTGTTTTTGTGCTGGGGCACGTACCGGTGTTTGTGCTGGATCTTGGGCAAGTGCCGGCTCTTGCACTAGTGCAATTGCTGATGCTGGTGCCTGTGACGTTGCTTTTGATGATGTTGGTGCTTGTTCCTGTCCACAAGCGCCAGCACCAGCACCAACACCAGCACCATTAAAAACAATGGCACTGACAGCAGCACTAGCATTAGCACAAGAACCAGCACAAGAAGAAGCTCCAGGTTCAGCGCAAGAACCAACAACAGCCTAAGCTCAAGCACCAGCACCAGCACCAGTTCCAGCACCAGTACTGGCACCAGCACAAGCGCCAGAACCGGCCAAAGGATCAGCATTAGCACCAGCACCAGCACCAGCATCAGCACCAGAAACAGCACCAACACCAGCCCAGCAATAGAACAGGCACCAGCACTAGTACAAGCACCAGCACAAACCTCGGAACCGGCACCAGCCACCAGCACAAGCACCAGCACCAGCACCAGCACCAGAACAAGCCTCGGGTCCAGCACAAGCAGCAGAACGAGCAAGGGTAAGCGAACCAGCACAGGCACCAGTTCCAGCAATAGTTCAGGCACCAGCAGAGGCACCATCACGAGCTCCAGCACCAGCACTAACGCCACCACCAGCACCAGCTTCAGCCTAAGCACAAGGACAGGCACAAGCGCCAGCACCAGCACCAACACCAGCAAAAGCAACAGCACAAGCATAGGCACCAGCACCAGTACCAGCAACAGCACCAGCACCACCACCAGCAACAGCACTAGCATTAGAACTAGCACCAGCACCAGCTCCACCACTTGTACAGGTACCAGCACAAGCGCCTGCACTAGTACAGGCACAAGCACAGGCACCAGTACCAGTACCAGCACTAATACCAGCACCAGCACAAGAACCCGGTCCAGCACCAGCACCAAAAACAGCACCAGCACTAGCTCTAGTTCAAGCAACAGCACAAGAACCGGCACCGGTCCAAACTCAAGCACAAGCACCAGTACGAGAACCAGCACAATCACCAGCACTAGCACCAGCACCGGCCCAAGCACTGGCTCGAGAACAAGCGCAAGCACTAGCGCCAACAGCAGCATCAGCATTGTCACCATTACCAGTACCAGTACCAGCTCCAGCACCAGCCCCAGCACCAATACCACCACCAGCACAGGCCAAGGCACCAGAACCAGCACAAAAACCAGCACTAACACCAAAACCAGCACCAGCACCACCACCAGCACCACAACCAGCACCACCACCAGCCTAAGTACCAGGACAGACACAAGCGCCAGCACAAGCACAACACCAGCACCAGCACAAGCAACGACACAGGCAAATACACCAGTACTAGCACCAGAACCAGAACCAGCACCAGCACAAGCACAACCCCTGGGTCCAGCACAAGCACCAACACCAGCCTAAGCAGCAGCACCAGCACCAGCACCACCACCAGCAACACCACCAACACTAGTCTAAGCACCAGGACAGGCAGAAGCACCAGCAACAACACCAGCACCAGCACCAGCACAAGAAACGGCATAGGCATCAGCACCGGCACTAGCACCAGTACCAGAACCAGAACCAGCATTAGTACAAGTACAAGCACAAGCACCGGGTAGATCACAAGAACCAACACCAGCCTAAGCAACAGCACCAGTACAGGCATCAGTACCAGCAACAGCACCGGTACTGGCTCAAGCTCCAGCACAAGCACCGGTACAAGAACCAGAAACAGCACCAGCACAAGCACCGGGTTCAGCACAAGCACCAGCACCACCACCAGCAACACCACCAGCACCAGCACCAGCTTAAGCACCATTACAGGCAAAAGCGCCAGCACCAGCACAAGCTCCAGCTCCAGCATTAGTACAGCCACTAGCGAAAGAGCCGGCCCCAGCACCAACACCAACACCTGGACAGGCACAAGCACCGGGTTCAGCACAAGTACCAGCACCAGCATTACCATCACCACCAACACCAGCACTAGGATAAGAACAAGTGCCAGCGACAGCAAAAAGCACAACACCAGCACATGCACAGGCAACAGGACAGGGACCAGCACCAGGACCAGCACTAGCACTAGCACCAGAACCAGAACCAGCACAAGCACTGGGTCCAGCAAAAGCACCAACACCAACACCAGCCAAAGCAGCAGCACCAACACCAGTTCCAGCACCAGTACAGCCACCAGCTCAAGCGCCAGCACCGGCCAAAGGACCATCAATAGCACCAGAACCACGATCAGCACCAGCACCAGCACAAGCTCTGGGTCCAGCACAATCACCAGTACAAGCAACAGCACCACCACCAGCATAAGCATCGGGTCCAGCACAAGCACCAGCATCACCACCAGCACCAGCACCAACAGAAGCACCAGAACCAGCGTAAGCATCAGGACAGGCACAAGCGCCAGTACCAGCACCAGCTCCAGCAGCAGCACCATCACCATAACCAGCAGCAGTACCGGCCCAAGTATCAGCCCAAGCACAAACAGCAGCATCAGCACCAACACCAGCACAAGCACAGTCACAAGCACCAGCACAAGCTCCAGCACCAGCACAAATACAGGGTCTGGCACAAACATCAGCACTAGTATAGGCACCAGCACAGGCACCAGCACCATCACCACCACCAGCACAGGCACCAGCATCAGCACAGGCACAAGCACCAACACAAGCACCGGGTCCAGCACAAGTACCAGCACCAGAACCAGCACCAGCACCACCAGCAGCACCAGCACGAAAAACAGGACAGACAAAAGAGCTAACCAGAAGCAGCACCAGCCAGGACAGGCACAAGCACCGGAACCAGCACCAGCACTAGCAACAGCACTAGTACAAGCACCAGCACAAGCACTGGCATCGGCACAAGAACCAGCACCAGCAACAGCAACAGCAACAGCAGAAGCACTTGCACCAGCACTAGCACTAGTACAAGCACCAGCACAAGCACTGGCACCGGCACAAGCACCGCATCCAGCAGGAGCACCAACACCAGCACCAGCACCAGTTTGAACACCAGCACAAACACTAGTACCAAAACAACACCAGCACCAGCATCAGCACCAGCACCACTACAAGCACCAGCTACAGCTCCAGCTCCAGCACCAGCAGAAACACAAGCACCAGCATAAGCAACAGCACCAGCACCAGCACCAGCACCAGCACCAGAACCAGAACCAGAACCAGAACCAGCACAATCACCAGCCTTAGAACTAGTAAAGCACCAGCACAGGCATAAGCACAGTCCCAGGCACCACCACAAGCACCAATAAAACCACCAGAACTAGCATTAGCACCAGCATCAGCACTAGCACTCGCACTAGCATCAGCAGAAGCACAAGCACCAACCTAGGCAAAAGCACCAGCACAAGCACCGCTAGCAGCACAAGCACTAGCACTAGTACAAGAACCAGCAGAAGCGCCGGCAGCGGCCCAAGCACCATCACAAACACCAGTTTGAACACTAGCACAAACACTAGCACCAAAACAAGCACCAGCACCAGCATCTGCACCAGCACCACTACAAGCACCAGCTACAGCACTAGCACCAGCAGAAGCACAAGCATCAGCCAACAACAGCACCAGCACAAGCACCTGGTCCAGCACAACCACCAGCAGCAGCATCAGCACCAGCACCACCACAAGCACAAGCACCAGCACCAACATCTGCAGAAGCACAGTACCAGCAGCAGTACAAGCACCAGAAAACACACCAGCACAAGCACCAGTACAATCACCAGCATCAGAACCAGCACTAATACCAGAACCACTACCAGTACCACCACAAGCACCAGAACTAGGCATCAGTTCAGAAACATGTGCCAGCACCAGTACCAAAACCAGCAATATCACAAGTTACAGCACAGGCACCAGCACCAGCACCAGCACCGGAGCCAGCACCAGCCTCAGCACAAGCACCAGCACCATCACCGGTACCAGCACCAGTACTAGAAGCAACAGATAAAACGGATCCAGCACAAACACCAGGACCAAAAACAGCACCAGCACCACCACCATTACCACCACCAGCACCAGCATCAGCCTAAGCTCCAGGACAGGCAGAAGCTACAGCACCAGCACCAAAACCAGCACCAGTTCCGGCCTAAGCATAAGGACAGTCAGAAGCGCCAGCACCAACACCAACACCAGCACAAGCAACTGGACCAACACAACCACCTGCACCAGCTTCAGCACAAGCACTGGGTCCTGCACAAGCACTAGCACAAGCACCAGCCTAAGCACCAGCACCAGCACCAGCTCAAGAAACAGTACAGGCACCTGCACAAGCGCCAGCACCGGCCTAAGAACCAGCATTACCACATGCACCAGCTCAAGCATCAGCACCAGCAGCAGCACAAGAACCAGCACCACCCCCAGCACTACCACCAGCACCAGCACCAGCACCAACCTAAGCAGCAGGACAGGCAGAAGCGCCATTACCAGCATCAACACCAGCACCAGCACGAGAAACAGGACCAGCACAAGCACCTGCACCAGCACAAGCACAAGCACTAGTACAAGCGCCATCACAAGCGCCAGCAGCGCCCCAAGCACCAGCACAAGGACCGGCACAAGCACCAGTACCAGCACCAGCACCCGCACCAGCACTAGCACAAGCACTAGATCAATAAACACCACAAGTGCCAGAACAATAGCCGACACCGGCACAAAAGCCGACACTGGCACTAGCACCAGCACAAGCACTGTCACAAGCACTGGCACAAGCACTGACACAAGCACCAGTACCAACAAAAGCACCAGCACAAGAACAAGCACCAGAAGCAGCACCAGCACCAGCTCAAGCACCGGGACAAGCACAGACACAAGCTCAAGCACCAGCACCAGCACCAGCATCTGCACTAGCAACAACCCCAACACCAACACAAGAACCAGCACAAGCACCAGTACCAGCACCAGCACCCATACCAGCACTAGCACAAGCACTAGATCAATAAACAGCACAAGTGCCTGCACAATAGCCAGCTCCGGCACAAAAGCTGACACCGGCACAAGTTACGAGCAGAAACACCAACACAAGCACCAGCATAAACACCAGCAACAGCACTTACAAACTAACCAGAACCAGTACCAGAACTAGCATAAGCACAGGCACCAGCACCAGCACAGGCACCAGCACAGGCACCAGCTCTAGCACCAGAACTAGCACCAGCAGAAACACCAGCAGAAGCACCAGCACCAGAACCAACATAAGCACCAGCACCAGCACCAGTACAAGCAACAGCATAAGCACCAGCACAAAAACTGGCAAAAGCACAGACACCAGCTCCACCAACAGCAACAGCACTGGCACCAGCAGCAACACTAGCACTAGTAAAAGAACCAGCACAAGCATCGGCACAAGAGCCGGCATTGGCATAAGTACCAGCACAAACATCGGCACAAGACACGGCATTGGCACGAGCAACAGCACAAGCACAAGCACCAACACAAGCACCAGCACAAGCACAGGCACCAACACAAGCACTAGCACAAGCACCAGCACCAGAAGCAGCACCATTACCAGACGCAGCGCCAGCACCAGCACTAGCACCAGCAGTAGCACCAGCACCAGAACCAACATAAGTACCAGCACCAGCATCACAACAAGCAACATCTTAAGCACCAGCATAAACACAAGCACAAGCAACAGCACCAGAAACACCATCAGCACCAGCACAGACACCAGCACTAGCACCAACACAAGAACCGGCACAAGCACCAGCACCAGCACTGGCAGAAACACAAGATCAATAAACAGCACAAGTGCCCGTGCAATAGTTGGCACCAGCACCAGAACCAGCACCAGCACTAGCAACAGCACCAGCACCATCACAAGCACCAACACTAGCACTAGTAAAAGAACCAGCACAAGCATTGGCACAAGAGCCGGCATTGGCTTGAGCACCAGTACAAGCATCGGCACACGACACGGCATAGGCAGAGCAACAGGACAAGAACCAACACCAATACAAGCACCAGCACCAACACAAGCATCAGCACAAGCATCAACACTAGCACCAGAAGCAGCACCAGCACCAGAAGAAGCACCAGCACCAGCAGAGGCACCATCTCCAGAAACAGCAGATGCACCATCACCAGCACTAGCTCCAGCACCAGCACCAGCACCAGCAGCAGCACAAGCACCAGCAATAGCCTAGTAAAAGCACCAGCATCATCAGAAAAACTGGCACCAGCACTAGCACCAGCACAAGCACAAGCACCGGCACAAGCACGAGCACCAGCTCCAGCACCAGCACTGGCCCAAGCACCAGCTCAAGCACTTGTACGAGGAACAGCGCAAGCACCAGCACTAGCTCAAGCGCTGGCACTTGCAGTAGTACAAAAACCAGCACAAGCATCGGCACAAGACCCGGCACTGGCACCAGCACAAGCACAAGCAGCAGCATAAGCATTAGCACGAGCATCAGCACCAGCACCAGTACAAGCACCAGCATAAGCACCAGCTCCAGCAGTACAGGCACCAACACGAGCACCAGCACCAGGACCAGAACAAGCACCAGCGTCAGCTCAAGCAGAAGCACCAGCACCAACATAAGCACCAGTACAAGCAACAGCATAAGCACAAGGAACAGCACAAGCACCAACGTCAGCACCAGCACCAGCACCGACACCAGCACCAGCACAAGCACTGGCACAAGCTCCAGTACCAACAAAAGCACCAGCACTAGCACCGGAACCAGTACCAGCACCAGCAGCAGTAGAGGTACCAGCCCAAACGCTAGCACCGTGCTAAGGACCAGCATTAGCACCAGCACCAACACATACACACGCATAAGAACCAGCATCAGCACCATAGTCAGCAGAAGCAGAAACAAAAGCACCAGCACCAGCACTTCAACCAGAACCAGCACCAGCACCACCACCACCACCAGCAACAGCACCAGCCTAAGCACCAGAACAGGCACATGTGCCAGCACTAGCACAAGCAACAGCACAGGCAACAGCACAAGCGCTGGCACCGGCCCAAGAACCTGCACCAGCACTAGCGCCAGCACCAACACCAGCACCAGCACAAGCACCAGCACCAGCACCAGCACTACCACTACTACAAGAACCAGAACCAGCACAAACACCAACACCAGCATCGGCAGAAAAACCGGCACAAGCACAGGCACCAGCTCCAGCACCAGCACCAACACTAGCACTAACACCAGCACTTTCACTAGTACAAAAACCAGCAGAAGCATCGGCACAAGACACGGCATTGGCACGAGCAACAGCACAAGCACCAGTACAAGCACCAACACCAGAACCAGCACCAGCCAAAGCACCAGCACAAGAACCAGGACAGGCACAAGCTCCAGCACCAGCACCAACACCAGCACTAGAACTATCACCAGCACTAGAACTATCACCAGCACCAGCACCAGCACCAGTACCAGTACTAGCACTAGTACAAGCACCAGTGTCAGCATCAACACCAGCACAACCACCGGCACAAGCAGATGCACCAGCACCAGCATCAGCACCATAGCCAGCAGAAGCAGAAATAAAAGCACCAGCACCAGCACTTCAACCAGCATCAGCACCAGCACCACCACCAGCAACAGCACCAGCCTAAGCACCAGAACAGGCATAAGCGGCAGCACCAGCAGAAGAAACAGCACAGGCACCAGCACAATTTCCGGGTCAAGAACAAGCACCAACACCAGAACACGCATCAGTAGTAGCACTGGTACAAGCACCAGAACAAGCACCAGCACCTGTCCAAGCTCCAGCACAAGCACCAGTATGAGAACTAGCACAAGAACCAGCAACACTACCAGCACCAGCGGCATCCTCAGTTCAGGAACCAGAAGAGGCACTAGCACGAGCTCCAGCACCAGTACCACCTCCAGCACTAGCCCTAAGCACAAAGATAGGCACAAGCGCCAGCACCAGCAACAACACCGGCAACAGCACAAGCAATGGCACAGGCACCAGCACCAGCATTAGCAATATCACCAACACTAGCACCAGAACCAGCACCAGCACCAGCTCCAATACTAGTACAGGAACTAGAACAAGCACCAGCACCAGCACCAGCACAATAACAGGCACCAGCTCCCGCACCAGCTCCAGCACCAGCACTAGCCCTATCACTAGCATCAGCACCAGCCCAAGCTCTTCCACTAGTACAAGCATCAGCAGAAGCACCAACAGAAGCACAAACATGAGCACCAGGACAAGCACCAGCACCAGCACAAGCACAAGCATCACCACCAGCACCAGCACCAGCATCAGCACCGGCACCAGTACAAGCACCAGCATAAGAACCAGAACAAGCACAAGGAAAACAAGTAAAGCATAACAACCAGCACTGGCACCAGTCTAAGCACCAGGACAGACAGAAGCGCCAGCACCAGCACCAACAACATCACCAGCACAAGCAACTGGACCAGAACAAGCACCTGCACTAGTACCAGCACCAGCAACAGCACCATCACTAGCAGTAGGACAAGCACCAGCACAAGTCCATGCACCGCCACAAGCATCAGCAAAAGAACCAGTACGAGCACCATCAGAAGCACAATCA